CTCACGTCATTCAGGGCTGTCACCGCACTCATAGAGGCCGAATACTGCGACAGGATGCATTTTGCCGTATCGCGGTCAGTAGCCTCCGGCAGTTGGAATGGAGTGTCCGGCAGGAGCCACACTTTCATACCAGAGAAGGCTTGCGGAAGCCAGATATCGTCGCTGTAAAGGATCAGGTTGTCAAGGTCATCGATGCGCAAGTCATCAGCGCTTCATCGTCCCTTGACGACTCGCACCGTCGGAAAGTCGCCAAGTATGATACCCCTGACATTCGTCATCAGGTCACCAGTGAGTATGGGGTCGAGAACGATAACATCTCGTTCTCTTCGATCACGATTTCCTGGCGGGATATCTGGTCCGCTGCTTCCGCCGCGAGTCTGTGCCAACTCGGATTGTGCAAATGTTTGGATTCCATCACGTTTAGAGCTCTCCGTGGTTCGTAAATTGATTGGCTCCGGTGGAATAAAATGACCACACACATCAGTGGTTATACAGGTATTAACTCTGCAGGTCGAAGAGAAGGCATAGGGTAGCCTTGACATCATCTCGCGCACATCTTTTGGAGAACGTGGTCTCCCACCATCTAAGACGGCACCACGAAATAAAGCCGCGTCCGAGCATTTCCATCGATCGGGCAGATAGAGTTTTAGTGGGTATTCCCTCACCGACGCAAATCGGTTGAGGACGAGTCCCACACACGGGGAGGTTCGGGGTTGATTTCAACTCAAACCTCCTTATGGTGCGTAACACATTTCTCTATCTATAAAAAAAAAAAAAAAAAATCACTACAAGATTGATTAAAAGGGTGTATGTGTTTTGGATAGTGAGCAGGATCATCGCAGACGAATCTTGTCTGAAATTCTGTTCATAAATTCTCATACTGATATTTTAAACCATAAGGAGGATGTTGAGGGATTGAAAACTTTCTATAGAAAAATTTTAAATTTAATTTGACATTAAAATTTTGGACTACGTGTTTAGGTGCGTTTGTTTGTATGTTTTGATTGTGAACGACTGTATCTTGTAGAGACTAGTCACTTTAGCCTCAACGCCATTGTTGGTACGATTATTATCAATGAGAGGAACCAATCCAGGTTCTTTCGAAGTAAAGTAGAATTGGTTTCAGTTGGTGTGCATGAGAATTGTAGTATAGGGAAGTGATAAGCTTGTCATAAGCAAATACAACATCTGTGACGGGTGCAAATATAAGAACAATCAAGTGGCGTACTTGAAAAGCAAAATCGGCATAATTTTGGTATTGTATTTTTAAATACATGACGCCAAATGAATTGTACGAAGTGAAAGAAACAACCATGCGATTCAGCGTCAGGGAAAACACCAGAAAAGGCGTTGATGTATGATTTTTCAAATCTATAATCTATAATCAATCTATAATCATACGAGTCAGAGTTAATCGTCTGCATGATTTAACAAGTTTGTCAAAAACACGATTGACATCTGCCATTTTCGGGGTTCAAAAAGCCAGGATTTTTTTTAAGATGCTACATGCACTCTGTGATGTGTAAAGTATGTGTTGAGGGACAAGAAAAAACTCGAGAACATAAACTTTTTTGTTAGGTAATTTTCCGATATACATTCAAAGGTCGGATAACACGATTTGGATTGAAATGGCTGGGCGAAAGCACGGACTTCCCTGGAAATCTTGAAGATAGAGTTCAATATAAAAATCCAAAACTCTATACCCGACGTATTTTTTGACAAGGAATCCAATAATGACCTCGGATTTGACCTTGAACATAACCTTCAAGCTTCAGCGACTCAAAAATCGATTTTTCTAATGGAAAAGGGTTAGATAAGAAAGACACCGTCGAGTTTATATTTGCTAATGTAATGAAGTTAAGCACTAGTGTATCGGCACAGAACGAAACACATAGCACAAATGAGCGTACAGTAGGTAAGTTTTGTGAATTTTCCCAAATTTTTTTATCATTTTTATCGCTAAGAATCAAAATTTTAAGTATTTCTCATTCACAATACATTACCTTACACAATACACGCTACCTTAAAATCATTTTTTCGAACTTTAAATAACAGCTTTCTTATTTTCGAATCAAATAGAAGACATCTAGGTGGGAGGAGAAGCAATACAAAAAGTTCGGGAAATAACGGACACCATACCCTATATGTACTAGCCCCCACACCTCTACCTTATGCTTTTTTAAAACTCTAAAACACCCGAGACCTGCAAAAGAGAAGAACAAATCAACACCAGAAGACGATGAGACTAAACGAGCATATACAAATGGCACGGGCATGATGATATTCTGACAAAACCACGACAAGACACATCAAACAAGCCTGTACAATGTCTCTCCTATTAAGGCACCACCAGACAGACGAAACAATATTTGAAGTTGAAGTACAAGTTAAACATACTTAAAATCTTCGTATACGCTGTATAGCCTTGCCACCGGACGTATAAAAAACAGAACAGCATTAGAACAAAAAAAAAACACAGATCAGATGCACTTGACATGTAAGAGGTTAGCTGAACACCTGCAGCTGATTTAAGATGCATCTCAGGTAGCTAAATTAGAACATACTTAAGTCGAAGACTGCAAGATACGTATGACACAATAAACAATCCACTGAAGGACCCGAGTATCAACGAGCAGACGAAAATCTGTCAACGAACGACGACAAAAGCTACTTCGATAGGAGCAGTACCTTGAAGTGTAGAAAAAAAGCAGACGAGAAGTAAGGCAACAAGCGACCACCTATCGATCAAGATCGATATTGCCGCTAACGCGTCACTTCACATTACACGAGCAAGGAGGACGGCCGGCGGCCACGAGGAACGAAATATCAGTCCGATATTTTTAATACAGATTATTCGTAAATATAGTATACTTCTGCTCCCCCAAAGTACATATCATGGATAATATTCTAAGATGACGTCTGAAAAGAAAGTCATCACTACAAAAACTAGCATTGAGAGTAAATTAAAGGGATATTGCACAAACATTCTAACGAAAGAGATAAAAGAAGCAAAGCTGTATACAGGTGGACCAGAGAAATGCTACTCGATAGATAAGAGTAATTTCTCTATACTTTTAAAATAAAAGTTCTAAAAAGACTGACCCAAAAATTTGGGTACACCCTGTTAGAAATGATTTTTTTTTATTATTTATGAATATATTAATTGAAAATAAGCCCATTACTCCTTTATTCACTCGTAGTCTTTTTTAAAATTTCAATTTTTTTTAACGTGTAAATACCACCATATTCTAAATGAAATTTTCTAAAAGTACATTAAAAAAGGAAGATTATAAGAAAATTTCAACTCAGTATGATGATCGTGTTTTTTTTTTGTACAGCTAATTATAATTTTTTTTTTTAGTACAATTTAGGTCTCAAGAGTTAAATCGATTTTCAACTCCACCATACTCAGGAGACATACCTTAAATTTTTTTGAAAAAGGTATGGTGGCTAAATATATTTAATAAATATTTTGATAAATTTTCAAGGATGTTCCACTTACATAAGTCGAGCTATACACGAGCTCGCTGGATTTTAAAAGTAAGGAAGAATTACTTATTTAGTAGATACATCCCGGCAGAGATATATTAGAGAGCATGTCAAGATTAGGAACATAATCAGGTATAGGCATTCTTAGCGATGGTAAGGCGTTGCAAATAGCAACGCAGCTTACATGTTAAATAATGCCACATGTAGCCTGTTTGTGCTAACCTCCTTGTAAGAGCTTGATCGATCGATAATCTTTGGTAAGCTCTACTAGAAACTCTTACATGGGCTATTACAAAAGATCTTCTTGAGAACTCGTATAAGCGCTTGTTATTTTTTTTTATTGAAGGTACCGACATGGTTTAGAGGATAATTTATTATAGGTTTTTGCGTGAATCAGACATATATGGTAACTTTAAAATAAAAAAACTCGTAAATGTTATTATTATCCACAACGTAATATCTTAAACTGTCCAGAAGGATATTTGAATAATCTATGATGTTTTTCCGACGAAACTTTGTGGATAGATCTAGAATTCACCACGACAAGCTAAAAATATACATGATTTCCCTGAAATAATCTCGTGAATTCTTCGGGCATTCCGATGATCAATGAGCTAAAAATATACAAGGTTTTTCGTAGATAATAGCACCACATCTGATCCAATGTGAAATTTCGATAAACTGAAATGACGTACATAAATTGATTATAATTTTATGATACAACTATCAAAATTGAAAAACTTAATCTAAATTCATAACTTCTTTCATACCCTTCAAATTCAGTTTTTTTCCATTCAAAATTATTTTGATTGCAAAAAATTACTTGACATCAATCGTTTAGAATTTTAATAATCTTAATTTGTAAATGTTAATTCAATGTGTTGATTCAAAAACGATTTTTGTATTTTTATGGAAAAACTAGATTAATTTTTTTTAAATTAAATGTAATATTGGAGAAATAATACTTTGGTACAACTAATTATATATTATCAAGTTGGGTTTTTCGTGTCACATTAATTTTTATTTCAATGACAAGATATTAGTTTAAAATATTATTGATGGAATATTTTCGAAAATTTTCTACATCGGGATTGAGAAAATTATTCATATAATAATTCCAAAAATACAAAAATCCAAAACTAAGTACACTGCCGTGTAAAATTAATTTTGTTGGAAGGATTAAACTAAAATAAGTTTATGATTTTCAGAACTTTATGGACAATTAAAAACATTGAATAATGGTTTCGTAAAAAAAATCATTTTTAAAAATACCAAACGCAGTCAAAAGCGTTTAATGTCCATGCGCATGTGTGAACAGAACTTGTGGCTCAATTCAGTTTAATATATGTAATTCTTCGAAAAAACTCTGATTCTATTTGACGCTTGAAAATGTTTGCAGTAAAATTTCGAGAATTTGCAAAGGAGTTCATGAAAGAATAATTGAATTTAATGAAAATTTTATTACTGTAAAGAATAATTCATTTCAAAAATATACGTTAGTTATAAGATAATATAAAAAGTGTTCGAAATCCCCTTGACTGATGATTTCGAAATATAAAGATAATAAGATTAAAATTTGCTTTAAACGTAAAATATACCAAGATATAATAAATCAAGAATACATCAAATATGATTGCATTTGCTTACTTGTGTTTTGAGCTATATTGAAATAAATTCTAAAATTTGCTTCACCTTAAAGTAAATAATTTTCTTTATTTTGAAAGGGATGGGCTGTAAGCTTGGTAAGTTGACTTTTTCTAGAACGATTCGTGATAGTCATTTAAATCAAGAAAGTCCACCATTGCCACCAGCAACTGATCCAAGACTTCCTTTAACCGCAAGACAAAAATATATTTTATCAGCAAGCTGGAAAGCTATTGCAAAGGCCATAGAACCCACCGGTATTTACATGTTTATAAGGTATGGGACTGTCCATCAAATTTCGTATAATAATCATTTAAAAATAATATAATCATTTTTGTACGTATAAAAAATGAGTCAACAGTACATATATACTTTCAATAAAAACGCTAAATATGTTTAAGCGTATTAATCAGAAATATTAAATAATACTACGGGACATCTATAGATTCTATTGAAATATTAAAATTCTCCTAGCGTCTTGAAAACAAATTTTCAGAAGAAATATTGTAAATTTATTTAAAACTTTTGCTTAAAATTTTTACTATTTTATCATTTTTACATTGGAAAATTGCAAATTGTAATTGAGCTATTCCACATCAAGCGTAATAAAGTCCAAAAATGGTATTTGACCTGAACTTAAATTCTTGAAGAAAATAGAAAAATAAACTTTTCTATTAAGTAAGAGATCTCTAGGTTACTTCCCTGAAGACCTGCGGAGCTCCAAAGTTGAATATTTAAAAGTGTCTTTTACCTGCATGATTCCAGGGCAGCTCTGAAAAAAAAAATTAAACGTATGTTTTTGTATTAAAAAACTGTGTAGGCCTGATGGTGTTAACCAAAAATATGCTGCTGCGTTGGAAACCCCTTTTTGGAAAATTTAGGACAAATCTGCAAATAAAAACATGTTCGTATACTGCGACGTATAATCCAACACTTTTGGTTGCATTAGGCTTTATCTTTGTCCCAAGTGTTTCCCCATTACACCACTGCATGGAATGCTGTATTTTGAGGTTAGAAACAATATGTGTTAACTTGAGTCAGATCCTACTATACAATCATGTTTTTATTTGCAGATTTGTCCTAAACTTTCTAAAAAAAAGGGTTTCCAACACAGCAGCATATTTTTGGTTAACACCATCAGGCCTACACAGTTTTTAAATACAAAAACCTATGTTTAATTTCTTTTTCAGAGCTGCCCTGAAATTGTGCAGGTAGAAGACACTATTAAATATTCAATAATTAATAACTGAATTAAGATTGACATTAACTAGTCTCAGGCCTTAAATAAGAATTAAATAAATAACGGTTACATCGGCCACTGCCGTTTTTAAAATGACCGAGTCATTACATGGACCAGTTACACGACAGATTGATTGATTGATTAATTAAGGTTTTTATTGGGGCCCTGAGGTATAACCACATGGGGCCCAACAGCAATTTAAAAATACAATTAGTCGGTAGAAAAAATATATAAAGAATTCAACAGAAATTAACAGAATTTATATAAAACAGCTAATGATAGCAGAAGTAAAGAGCAAGTGTGCCACTGCACAGCGGCACTTGGCAATGAATTCTTCTCTCAGTATTAGAAGTTCAGCAGAAAGATGACAGCAGGCACTGGGCCCTCAACCTGTACCGCTGCGGCCACTCGATCTCATCGCATTATAAGAGGAGAGGAGTGCTAAGGAATAAGGATGGAATTTTGAAGAGGAGCGAGGTGAAGTAGAAAGAATATAGGAAGAATATAGGAAGTAAAGGACGATTATTATGAAATGAATTGACGTGACAGTGATATGGATATAAATGACTCAGTGTCAAAATTGCACGTTGAAGTCTGAACTATTGGAAAATGAACAGTAAACAAAGATATAGTGACAGAAGAAAAGTGGTTGATTTATAATGGAAGTAAAGTAGAGAAAAAAGTAGGGTCAGAAGAATTTTTAAAACAGGCAATTGAGAAGTGAAGATGAAATGAAAGGAAGAAAAATGTGCGGTATGGGGAACGAGCTTTATAGCTGAATATTGGACGTCGAGTCTCGACAAAGAGAGAAAGAGAGAGATTACGGGCAGAAGACGAGCAAGAACTTACATTGGCTGAGGCCTTCGCAATTGGACTCAGATTCAGCACAGTAACTTACACGTTGCTATTCGGCACAAAAACCAAAAGTAAAAATTAATACGACTCACGGTCAATATTCAATTCGAAGGCCGTAAATAGAATCCACACCTTAGTTAGATTCAACAAGGCAATTATGAATAATTTACAACAAAAACTTCGAATTTATCTGACATATTTACTGTTCTGCCCAATCTAATTTTCCTAATTGACTCATTCACCTGAATGGCATCATTTTGATTTTCATCGGATATGGCTTTCTAATCTGCACCACGAGCTCAGATCCCTGGGTTCAGAAGAAGGGAGAGTATTTGACAATTCTATATTTAAATTTTCCTCAAGATAGTTATTTTCTGTATTCAAGTTTTTACCACTTAATAACAGTTTTCTGTTTCAGCACAATATTCTCTTTACCTGCGTTTCGCTTTGATACGAGCGTGGTTCTAATTCTTCTTTAACAATTACATCATTTCTATCCGGTAATACCCTATATTCATCGTGAATTTTAATAAAATCTCCATCCTTTAAGAGCTTATAAGCACCTGAAGCTCAAAAAAAATTTTATTGAATTTTTGAGTAGGATTTTTTCTCCACTTTTCATTGCATTTTCCGGAACTTCAAAATTTTGATTTTGAACTGAGATATAGCTTTTTCCATGAACCTTTTTCCTCTATTTTACGTTTTTAATTTTTCTCCTTTACGTTTTATGGCGAGTAGGGTTTATTAGTCAGAGTTTTTTCGTATTCATTTAGTCTTACTGATTTGTTCTTACAAAATAGAATTAAATATCTTGTTTTCGCCCAAAGAGCAATTCTGTCGGTGTTACACCTATATCCATTTATCGGAGTATTTCTGTATTGCAATGGTGCCAAATGCTTGTACAATCTTATAAAACATATTTTTTACTGTTTTTATGTATCTTTCAGCGAGGCCATTTGCTTGATGGTACTTGAGAGATGTAATCGTGTATTTAAAATTCCATTCTTTGCCGAAATTTTTATAAAGCTCACCATTAAATTGAGACCCTGGATCAGAACACACTTTTTTGGGAATTCCAAATTGAGAAAAAAATCTTTTTTAATATTTCTACTATGTGATGACTTTCTAAATTATTAAGCTTTTCAACTTGAACAAACTGTGACGAGGTAGCCTCGCCAATGCTGTGTGCACCCACGTCTGGAGTGCGAGCTTACAATATTTATCATTTTCCAGGCTCTTAGCTATCGCATGCAAGTGTAGCGATGCAGTCACCTAACGTCGGTGACACAACCACATACGCACGCGCCTATAGTCGCGGCGCTGCTAGCACAACATACAATGTAAGCGCACTCCGCTCAGTTAGATTATTCCGAGCATTCAGAGCTTACGGTCACTTCTCAGACGCCCCAATAAATCGCTTAAACGAGACCAAGTGTACTTTTCTTTGCTTGCCACCTTCTTTTCCAGCATCATCCTCGAAGTATAAAGTCGCGATACCGACATAGTGGTAAGCCCGACGGAACGGTTTTTGAGCTGCACGGTGACCCCTCCTCAATTTTCAACTTCTTAAAAATAAGTTTCACACGAGTGAAATTTTAGGCTTGAAAACTGAAGTTCGTCCGTCGTCGCCATCTTCGCCTCTCGTCAAAACTGAGCTGCTGTTTTCCGTTGGCCAGGAAAAGCATCGGCATCGATCTACCAACATCGGATCGGGTGGAGAGCGCAAGGAGAGATTAACGTTATTCAACAATTCAACGGTGGGTGAACCTGAACACGCTCTACTCCGAGGAGAAACGTCGCCGGCTGAAAGGTGTTCAACTTGGAATTCTAAGAAGCAAAAAATTTTTTGGACCTCGCCCAGCCTAACGCTTGGAGGTCTCATTCGGGTCAATTAAGATACGCGTAGTGCACACGAGCTAACCTCGTGCTTACGCTCCAGAAGCTAGGAATCATCATCATCGTCATCATCACGATCATTTTTACACTGTGTGTGCACGCCATTTTTGCTGTTGTGACGCAACGGGCCGGCCGGCTTTTGCGCTGTTCGGCAGCCATTTTGGACATTCGGATCGGCGTCTTCTTTCAACGGTCATCAACGGTTCGCGCGTGGCGCGTTTCGGCCGTCAGGCGGCCATATTGTCGTCTTGTCATCTCGTCATCAGCGAGCTTTGAGGCTCTCTCCCTCTCCCGCTGCTGCTGCCGCTGCCGCCTGCGTTGCTGTCTACTGCGCTGTGTGACGTGTTATCGTGCTGTGCTGCCGCTTGAGTTGTGTAACTCGATTATCGTCTCAAGGTACAGCGTTTTAGAACATACTTTGCAAACATTTTGAAGAGAGAAAATAGAAAACGAAGGAGCGACGGCATTGGTATCGTTGCCACTTCGGTCGACTTTAGGGTCTCTTCGTTATTTCATAACGGTACGCCGATTAAAGTGTTAAAATTGAGCGGTATTACTGGTTTCATGCGACGTCAGCAGATCAAGCGTATGCTTGACGACGCGAACATTCGACCTTATGTCGTGTCGTGTGTGAGGCCGTCCGTGAGAGCTACTACAGCAAAAATTACGTGCGAACGCTTGGCCACCGCTTGCAGGCTTCAACTCTCAGCTTTGCTTAAACGCATTGTCTGGACTCGATATTCGAACGTATTGCACGATACGGAGAGCGCGATAGTGGTGCGTCCCATAATTAGCCCAGCGAACGAAATTGCGGTGGCAGGTGCTGATGAGGGCACGATCACGGGCGTCGAGGCCGAAAATCCCTTAAATAGACTGCTAGAAAATCTTGACTCACTGGAACATTTTTGTAAATTCCTACCGACAGATTATTTAGTCAATTTTTGCCTGTACAGCCGCCGACAGGCACTCGTGCCATTTATAATGAAAAGGAGAGTAGATTCGTGTGGCCGGGATTCGTAGGTCAGAACGCCGCACAGTAAATTCAATCTTATATTTTGCGTTACTGTATATACTGAATGTGGCGGGTCGAGTGTTGGGTTCGCCATCTGCTGAATTGCCCGTTCGCGTGCAGCTTCTTGATTTATCTGGCATTAAGATAGATAGCAACATCATTGAGACACTGAGGAGGTCATATAATGTCAATAAATTTGTTGTGGTTGATTCTAGCATTGTGTTGAGTCAAGTTTTTTCGCGCATTCAGGTGAGACAGATTTTTGTCTCAAATAATAACTACTTGCAAGGGCGCTTTTTAGCTCATTCCAGGTATGCATTATAGCTCTTGTCTCTGTCGTCTTGTAGAGATATGAATGTTTTTACCGTGATTGAGTATGTGAGCAATAATTTAATTTTAAAAGAATTGTACTTGAATGATGGTCACTGGTTGGCCAACGGGCAGACAGAAGCCTTGGTGTTATTACTTGAGTAATTGATTAATGAAAACGCATACTGCGAAATCTTGAGTATCGCGTTTGGCGCGGTTGTCGATTCGAATGGCCTGTTCGACAGGCGAGCCATAAATATGAGCAGTAATCATACGCTTAAGGAACTAAATTAATCAAACAATATCTATATATGCGGTTTCGTATCACAAATTAATGACTGTGTTAATAATTTTAGGGTTCTCGACCTGTCAAACGTTCCAATTTGGTTTGATTAATTTCATTCTTATTTATATTTAATTTACTAAAAATTTGATCTCGTGAAACCGAACCCCAGTATCCGCGGATTCGCTATCCACGGTACTTTTCCCGAACGAATTAACTAACATCCTGTATAATCAATAATATAAGTGTACACTACGACCTTATAATTGTTATTAACTTTAAATGCATCGATTTCTTAATTCAACTTCATTTCAATAGAGTTTAAAGAGTAAAATAAAGAAAATAGTGAAAATTGTAACTCATGCCACTCAAGCAGTGTTTTTATTGTGAGACCTGCCCATGCACCTATTCTTTATTTAATAATCATTTACGCAAATCTCAAACGATCACGAATACGAGGTACCCTGAGAAAGAATGATTTTTTATAAATTTTTTCATTTTCAAATGTCTTTATCATTCATATAAATAAATTAAGTGTACCATTAAAATATTGATTAAGCAAATACAATGATTTAAATTCGATACCGGAATTGAAACGTTTTCACATTTTTTCCTAATTATTGTAGGCTTTTTGAAGAGAATGAAGAATTATTGAAAATGTTTGACAAGTTAAAGCATTTGAAAACTCGAGAAGAACAGTTTGATAGTCCAGAATTAGCAGAACATGCCCAAAAAGTAATGAATACTTTGGATGAAGGAATTCAGGGTCTCGATGATCTGGATGTGTTCTTAGATTTCCTTCATCAAATTGGAGCTTCGCATTCGAAAATTCCAGGCTTCCAGAGTGATTTTTTTTGGGTAAGTAAAAATACGTTGACACTTTTTTGAATAATTAAAGTTTTTTGGGGAGAAAGAAGTCAAAGAGGAAGGGGAGGGGAGGGGGGGGGGGCAAAAAGATGCAGTTTTGCCCTACATATGACTAAAAATGATTTTCATGCTTTCTCAGCCGTAACTAAATTCCTTGCGGATAAAAATTAATGTTAACTATCAACATACTTCGCTCACTATTAATCGTTTGGATTTTAATGATTCAGCAAAAACATGTTTGAAAAAGCATCAAATTAAGGGGAGTTATGCACCAATTTACTAATCTTTGTCATTTTTGTGATAGAAATCGGTAGAGTCAATCTACATTTTCAACACAATATTGTCAACTTGGAGCCCTAAAAAATGTGAAAAAACTTTCAGAATAGGCCTTTGCATCTAAAAATAGCTTATTTTTGCTAGTTTAGCCTTTCGGCACTGTGCGCAAGGTTCAAATCAGAGTTATTCAGGTGGGGATTTCTGATAGGAATCAAAATCTTCAGAAAAGTATCCTTTATAGGCTGAGTTTTGTTCAATTTTGATTTAGACCTTCATACCAGTTCTATTATTCGATATGTACTTAAAATCATGAATAAATTTTTTTTATTTCTTTCTTTTTTTCACATCTATTGACATTCAAACTTTTTTATAATTTGTCAACAAGCAGTCGAGAGTGTAGCAAGACATGTGCGCGAGAAGTTGAAGAGAAATGGCATGGATGTGGCGACGACACGAGCGCACGAGTAGTCTCTCCTTTTTCCCCGCTGCGCGCATGTTGCTCTCTCTCCAGTTTGAGCCTGTTACATGCGTACCAAATAACTATTCACCTTCGTTACTTTTTTTGTATTCTCCATTGTTTTCTCTTAATTATTTTTTTTTTCTCTTGATAATCTTATTCTTTCTTAATAATCAATATAAGGGGCCTTCCATTAATTACGTAAGCCGTATTTTCATTTTTTTCAATAACCCCCCCCCCCCCATGTAAGCTGAAGTAATATTTGTCCTACCATCCCTCCCCCAGCCTAAAGTAAGCGTAATCCTTTGTTCATGGCTAAAAAAACAAAGTCAGATTATATTTAGATAGAATATAATTTATTTTATTCATACATTTTTTAAGTGTTTTATTACACTATATAGAGTTATAAAATTTAAATTTTGAACAAAAAAAAATAAATTTAATCAATATCTTCAGTCCATTCACTCTTGAGCCATTCCTCTATGGAGTAAATGACTGTCAGTGCGGAAGCTCTCTTACTTTCTGGTACAAACTTATCGGGCGTCGGGATGAATAAATCCATCGTATTAAAATTTTCATTTTCATTCCACTCGACATCTCGTGACTCGTTTTCATTTATTAAACATAATAACTCATCGTTGCGACGCTCTATAAGCTCAGCTTTGACTTTTTTATTCGTTTTTGATGTTTTAATAATTGGATGGATAATTATTCTGTGAGTTACTAAGTTTTTCATACTCGCAAAATAATGACCACAATATGAACAAACTCTATCTGCCAGAAAATCTCGCGTTCTTAAACAATGATAGTCGTAAGGTAACATAAAAAAGTTTAAATCTTCGCAAGGCACGTTGATCAACAAACACTGAAAAAGAGGAGGGAAAAAGGAGTCTTTCTCCGCATCTTTCACCGTATCAGCTATTGAAAGACGTCCATTTCGTTCCCTTTTCATCAATAGAGGTGGAGGAAAAAATCGATCTTTGAGTAGTAGCTCAATATCGCTTCTAAGATCGAAGCAGCATTCACGATCATTACATTTCACAATCTGCAATGATAAATAGATTTTAGTAAAATAAATATTGCAACGGAGCTACAGTAAAATTAGTCAAGTTACGCGCTTACGACGCGCGCGAGGCGAGAGAGGCGAGAGAGAGCAGCGAGACGCGAGCTTCCCCTACTCACTCACCGACTTGCACGCGCGCGCAGCGAGGAAACCACGCACCGCATCCCACTCCGCGAAATACGCGAGAGGAGGAGGCGAGCGCACGAGAGCGACCCCCGAATGTGACCCGCCGTCGGGCCTATAAAAGCCAGGTCAAGGGCGCAGCGGATTCATTATTATTTCTCTATTATTATTTTCTCCTCATTATATATTCGATTACTCAACAGTCAACTTTACAATTCAATTCGCGACACTTAGTCAGTTTTCGCTACGAGTGCCACGAATTTTCTAAGTCCAGCTATTGCGACACCACGTTCAATACTCACTTGGTGCTGCACGACTCTCGCAATAGCTGACTGAACTGATTATCGGTTCCGCGGGAAGTGATAATCAGTGTAAACAATTGTCGCAAGTGCGGTAATTGTACTGCCGTGGGTGCTTTAGTGTTTTGCGGAAGTGCAAGTGCACCGACCCGTGAGGTACCATCAAGGGGGATCAATTTGTGTTATTTCGACTCGAATCTCCGTCTCGATGTAAGTAATCCTTTGGGAGTTTCCTTACCATCCTATCGCTGCAATACATGCCGAATCAGGTTTCACTCAATTGCTGAATACCGTTAGCAAATTGCAGAGATAACTCAGTACGAGAGAGCCGGACCAGGTCTCACATATCAGTTGAAGACCGTTAGCTCCTTGTCACATAGAATATGTCAATCAAAATCTAAGTTCTACTTCAATCGTGCTAGATGCTGAGGCTTGATAGACAATTCTATAATTCTTTTACCTTATCCTATCGTACCGTGTATGATATCCTCTCGTGATTTAACGTAGGAACACGAACGAGAATCAAGCGCACTCCAGCACGTTGGCAGAGCCGAGTACATCGACGCAGCATAAGGTAAAACTATTCATATTCAGTCACAACCATCACATCCACACATCATAGGTTACGACGCCTGATCAAGCCTCTTTCTTAGAGTAATCAGCGAGTAACCGAAGAGTTGCAGCTCCACTCAAAAACATTAACTAAACCCATTTGTATTTCTTTTCCGATAATAGTAATTGCCGTAATTTACATTTTCAATAAAACACAATTATTCGTTCACATGATACTCTGATATTCATAGTTATTTCACGGTCCTTCTGACCCATTTAACGCATACATATTTATTTTTTCTATGTAATCATTTAGGATAAGTCACCAACATAAAATCCCCGAGCGTCTTACTCACAGCGCTTCGCGCATAGCATCTTCTCTCCTCCTCTCTCACGTTCGTTATTGAGGCGCGTGTAAAGAGCACTCTCGGACGAGTTCTTACAATTTCAGTTTCTTATGCGCGTGTACTTGTAACGTAGCTTAGAAACCTGCGCAGCTCGCGTAAGAAACGCCTCAATATAATCAATTTTTCATATATTAAAACAAATAATTAGGCTTACTTGCAAAAAATATTGTGACTCTCGCACGTGTTCTTTGTACCAAGTCCAATTGATGTCTTGAATAGGCGGCAGTTCTTCGTCAAGAGCAACGTACTTCGCAGTGACTGGAAAACTATCGACAACCATTTGAGACCAAATTTCTTGTAAAACTTCTCCAGCTCTAGAAAAGTTTTTTATTTCTAATTCTTCGACCTCGGTCGCTTTTTTTGAATTGAGGTGTTCCCCATAAAAATTATGAGGTAAAATTACGCCAGTCAAAGCCCTGCTCAAAGGCGCCATACGTCTGTACAACCCTGTTGAAAGCCGAGCGCCCAGGTGCATTTGTCACGATGAAAATTGAATCCAATTCAAAATTTTTAACATAATTAATAGCATGCATTATTGTTTTGTGATACCTTGAACAAAAAAGAAGATATATTCAGTACATGCGTTGTATATCGAGTCAATACTATACCTAGGGGTTAATAATTACCTCTGGTTCTCGGCGGGTCCTCCATTCACGGATACGATTAATGGGGGCTTATATTGATTGTCTTGATCATACAAACTTTTTTTAAAAGAGCTGGAATGTTTCCCGCTTGTAATGGCAACATAAGTTGGCTCACCATATGTTACATTCTCTGGCGAGCCTGAAGAATTGTTCTGGATTTGTATCCCAGCATAAACCGACGGAATCAGAGTATGCTTGCTCGCAATAACCCAATCATAAGGAGTAGATAAGGTCGAGGAGGAGTGTAGATTTAGGAGTAAATGAGGTCGAGAAGAAGCGTAGGAGGAGGAACAAAAAGAGGAACATGAGGAGAAACAAAAGAGGCCCACGAGGAGTACCGCATAAGGAGCAAATATGAGGTTCAAAAAACACGTAAAAACAACACCTAAAAGGCCAAAAAACCCAGGAAACTGCTTTTTTCAAAAATGAGGAGTAATTGAGGAGTAAATGAGGCGTAAATGAGGTTGAAAAAAAACTTTTTTCCTTACAAGAATATACTTATAGGCAGATATGTTAAAAAAGACTAACTCTCGCAGAGAAAATTAATATCATAAACGAGTGTGAAAAAACGAACGAAAGTTATCGTGCATCAGGAGAAAAGTTTGGAGTTAGTAAATCGCTTATAGGGGAAATATTAAATGAAAAGAAAGAATTACGTAGTTTGTTTGCGCAAAATGGGAACGTTTTGTCCAAGAAAAGATTTTTATAATCTATCGTTAGATTCTTTAACATATGAGTGGCTATGCAGAGTAAGAGAGCAACACATCCCCATCGGCGGACCGCTCATTCAAGAAAAAGCTCTTTAGATATCGACAGAAATTGTTCGAAGAATGAAAGATTATAGGCTGGTGGATTTCAAAGCTTCCTATGGATATCTGGACAGGTTTCGCATTAGTCACAAAATTTCATATAAAATTGTAAGCGGTGAAGCTGGATCTGTGGATAAAAATTAAATTGGCTCATGGAAAATTATTTTTAAAGATATCGCGAAAGATTATAGTGCAAGAAATATTTATAATCTGGATGAAACTGGCCTTTTTCATAAAGTTACTCCAACAAAAACAATGTGCTTACCGGAAGTTGATTGCAGTGGCGTGAAAATTCAAAAGAACCAACAAATTGTTACGCTATGCGTAAATATGTCTGGGGATTTTGAATATCCACTAGTTA